TGGGATCTCGGGTGCTGCTTACTCCTGCTGACCCAGTGGACATGTGCTGCCTGCACTAAGACAGAGTGGGCTGTGGCTAGGGCCCACTCTCAGGCAGCAAGGGGAGCTGCCCATGCCCAGAAGCAGGAGGAGGGGCAGCACCCCGCACCCCTCTTAGCTGCTGGGCTAGTGCATACTGCACGGGAGCCTCTGGAAGAAATTCTAGCTGAGTAACGAGAGAATTTCTTCTCAGGATGCCGTCTGCAGCCCAGCTGCTCCATACTACTGGGCACCAAAGGTTTCCATCCAACAAGGTGCTGAGCACCCTCAGTTCCTATTGCAATCAGCACCTTGCAGGCTCAAGGCTCAAAAGGGACAATCTAGTCCAGAATTTAATCAAGATGGACTTCAAAAGCACCAAAGAGTGTCCTACCTAAGTCCACCTGATTTGCTGTGTTTAGACCTTTAGAAAGCATTGTGCCAGCAGCTTTGTTGTAAAAGTTTTCACTGGCTAGACACTGTTTATAGCTTTCCTCTCCTTTCAGTGTTTAACCTTGCCTGTCCCATGTCCAGCTCCGGCAGTGATGCTTTAATTTGTGTAGAACTTCTCCATCTTTGGAGATGCCAGTGCACAGAATTGATGTAAACTGTGAATCATGAAGCCCTTAAAAACAAGGTCAACCTTGGCGCTTGCTGTTCTTAATATTGGTTTCTTTTTGCAACTTGAAGAATTTTACAGCATACTGTTACCGTACACTCTGGAGTGGGATTTGATTATTTTTCACAGTGAGTCTCAAAGCCACCATTAGACAGGCAAAGTCCACAAACACTAAGGCCCCTAGTAATTCAGCGAGATAGTTAGAATAAAAAAGCACCAGGTCATCAGTTTCTAGCTTCCCTGGAGTTTCTGTTATTTGAGCATGGGACCTGGGCTTTATTTCCAAGGTCATCCACCTTATGCTTTATTATCTCGGACTATGGCAGCAAACTTAGCCTCCTGTTCTCCTAGTGCATTGCCTGAAACTCGGGCTCTCTGCTTCTTTAATTCTATTTTAGAGGCTTCAGCTTGTTTTTTAAATCAAAAGCAATAAGTGGTTCTTGCAGATTGTTCAGGTTTTTGACATTCTGGTTTAGTTATTGCTGTTTTGATTCCGTGCTGCTTGTATGAGAAGTGGGTATTGCAGAACACAACCTTTCACCTTCTGTGCCACAGGGCTTTTAAAATGATTGCTATGACCGACACAAAAACATCCTATTTCCTCTGTCCCTCCTTTTCCCTCGCTTGTTTGCTCACTCGCCTTATATTTCACATTTTTTAGCTTGTAAGCTCATCGGGGCTGGGAGCTGGTATTTACTATGCAGCCTCTGGCACAGTGGGGCTCCAAGCTGATTGAGGCAACTCTGTGCTTCTGAAATATAACTGATAGATAAAAAGAAAAGTGCTTTTGTAGGGATAGGATTGGGGAGGCATTTTTGTCCTTGGCTGCTGGTGCAAGGCCGTGTAGAAGATGGCTTACCCCTGCCCTTGGAGCCAGCTCACGCAGGCAAACGCAAGCTCGTTGTCGTCAAGCTAGCAGGCTAAGAGGAGTAGTGTAGACACAGTAGCATGGGCTAGCCATGCCGAGTGCGTACTCGCAGGTCTTGGCAGCTCTGTCCTCAGGGTGGCTAGCCTGGGCCGCCGCTCCTGCTGCAACACAACGGCTAGTTAGCATGAGTTATTTAGCATGAGTATGCCTAGGACCTCTGGGAATCACCCCCCCATTCCTCTCCGCGACGTGTGCAGGGACAGCCTGGCAGGGATAAGACCAGAGAAAGGGGAGGGTACACCCTAGCCTGGAAGTAGCAGGAAATGAACACAGAGCTTCGTACAAGGGATGGAATTGTTCAGAGCCTTGAGCATGAGGATCAGAAACGTTTGAACTTGATGCAGATGGCAAGAGGAAGTGAATGCAGGTTGGGGATTCAAAGGCTGGAGGGATGTGCTCAGAATGACAGGAGAGGAGAATGGTCATTGAAGGATACTATCTTGAAGAGGCAGGAATGGAGGGAGAGGACCTGCCAGAGTCCAAAGAGGCAGTAGTCCACTCCACTTGGGCTGTTAGTTGTCATCTGCTTTGTAACGTGCACGCAAGGAAACTTTGCGTCTTTCCTGTTTACAAATAGCAATAGTTTGACAAATTGGTATTTGCTTCTCAAGGCTACGGATGGTTTTCCTCCTTTCTGGCAACATAGGCCTATGTTTAAATCTATTTAACCCAATCTCTGTGGTGCAAGATGTATTTCTAAAAACAGCCCATTTCTCTGGCTTTCTAGAGGCTTGCAGTTCACTTGGGCTTTCTTCCCCCACACAGTAGATTCCACACCAGAGCCTGTATGAGGAAGGGTGAATGAGTGTTGCCATTATAAACTTTATGTTTAGGGGATAAAATTGGATGCACTTTGAATTAAGAAGGATGAAATTTGGTACTAGACCTGGAACATTTTGCTTAACGTTTTTTTTTTTTTAAAAACCAACATTTTTAAACAATAGAAAGTGTTAAAATTAAGGGTTTCAATTTTTTAGAAGGGCTGAGCACCCACAGCTACACTTCTCAAAGGGCGGCGGGGGGAAGAGGGTGTTTAGTACCTTGTAGTAGATATTTTCACCTACTGTTTTGGGCCAGGAAAAGAGAATCTGTGTGCACAAATTGTTTTGTTCGATGTTCGACTGCCAAATTTCTCTGAATTGTTGTTTGTGAACACAAATGGTCATGCTTGTCAAATGGTAGGCACACATTTACAGATGGGTTAGGGAAAACAAATCTAAATACGACCCTACACTGAAGAAGGTCATAGCTCTCATGAATTCAGTCTGTCTTATTGTTATGTTGGTCTGTCTAAGACAATCAATGAGAAATCCATGATTCTGCAACAGAAAATAGTAGTGTCTATTCACCCGTCTGACATTTGTCGAGTTACACAAAATGGACCAGATCCTCAGCTGGTGTAAATTGGCCTAGCTTCATTGAAGTCGACAGAAGGATCTGGCGCTATTTAAAAGAGGAGCCTGTGTCTTCTGGACACTGCTTCCAGCTGCCAGTAACCTGGAAGTGGAGAAAGCACTGCTGGTCATACACTGATTTCTATATTTACTGGTGCCAGGTGCAAGGGAATGTGTGGTGCATTTGAGTCTTTAGCTAGTAGAAAACTTAGGTAGCAGTTCCATCACTAGGTAGCAGTTTTGCTTATTCCATACCTCTCTTTGGCAGGTTCTGCCTCTTTGTGAGAAATGTTTCCTCCAATAAATAAAGCACACTCTATCTGTGATCGTAGTACCTAAAAGTGTGTGTTAATAAGGGTGATAAACACTCACAATAAAAATACAAATAACAATTGCTGCTGGCAGCTAGGAAAGAAGAGGCGTATCTTACTGGGTGAAGGCCATAACAATACTTATGTTCCCAGACGTGAGCCCAGCCACAACAAAAAAGGCATTCCCATCTGTTAAGTGAAGCTTCTAGTAACTAAACAGAGCCTTAATGATATATCTGGCCAAGTTTTGGTTTTAATATGACTGCAAGAAAAGATATCTTCTAGGACACTGAATTTGACACACAGCTACTGGAAAGGGGCACCAGATGTTAAAGCTTGAAGTTTGAGGATCCTGTACCCCCTCTCCAGCCTTCTATGTTTCATGGGCTATAGATTTGAGAAAAGGACTAACCCAATTGTTACAGAGATCTACCAGGATACTCTCTAGTGTATTACCTGAAAATATAATCACCTGTTGTGTTAATATTTCCTACATGAAATTGCTATGGTTATTGTTCTGATGTCATATTATAGTGCTTGGGATTTGTTTTAAATATTGTGTCACAAGGTAGGGCCTCACATAATGTATTTCTTGCCCATGCCCTTTATTACTTCTTGTTTTGTCCTGGAGCTTCTCTATTAACTCTGATTTGATAAAATACCTAGAAATCCCACACAAACTTGGAGTCCTAGATGGCAGCCTCCCAGGGCTGTGCTTGAGTTATTTAAGGGCTTGTCTACATGATGTCGTAGTCTGCATCACCTGGGGTGCAAGTTGTAACGTGCACCAGCATGTCACACACTAACTGACCTGTGTGGGCCCTGCTAGTGCGCACAAAAAGTTCTCTAGTGTGCTTTAATGTACTCCCACTTCAAACAGTACTATGCTTTGTGCACTAGGGATCTTTTAGTCCACGGGATCCAGTTCATGCATGCCACGCTTGTACACAGTAGAATTTACAACCTAGCTGATGCAGACTAAGGTACCATGTAAACAAGCTCTAAGAAACAACGCTGATGGCAGATTAGAGTAAATGGAAGTGAGCATCTGTTCTACTGGCTGAATGCTAACACCAATCCTGCAAAATCTTGCAGATTCCTCATATATTCTTTTTCTTCAGATTTTCTTTCCATCTGCCATCAGAGGTTGGACTAAGTGTAAATGGTTATTTTTTTATTACTTCATTCTGGCTATATTTGTTCTACTGAATAATTTCTGCTTTTTCTGATCTGGAATATGTAATTACTCTGTTCTGTTAATCATTGTATGTATTAACATGAATTGTGATTCAGGGTTCAGCAAGATACTGTTTATGCTTTCCGAAGCGTATTCTGTACAAATAAATGAACCCTATGAAAAATGGAGAGAAATATGGTCAACACTCAGTCCTGTCTTCTGTAGCCATGCCAAGATCATGATACACAACTGGTTAAAAATGGAAATTAACAATAATAATAAATACATTTGGAACATTAAACAGCCATTTCCAGACAGAGAATAGTATGTTTATGGAAATCTTGAAGTCCTTTGGTAACCAAATAGATGCCAAATGGGGTGGGGAAGGGGGGGGAGTGATGTGCTAAAAGTGCAAGGAGCCTTGGTGAATCAAATGGGCTTCACTCATTTCCCACCCACCCACTCTTCCTCCCAAATTGTTATGATCTTATTCATATGATCATTCTGCAAATTATGCACATGCCCCCATCATCTCCATTATTGTCTCTTATAGGTCCTGAGTATTGGGATTGACCATGTCGTTCCGATTTGGACAACACCTCATCAAGCCTTCCGTTGTGTTTCTGAAGACCGAACTGTCGTTTGCTCTTGTAAACAGGAAGCCAGTGGTCCCTGGGCGTATCCTTTTCATAAAAGCTTCTGAAGTGAACACTCATGGGCTCTAGATACTCAGTGCCCCAAGGAGAACTCTGCTTACTCTGAAGACCAGGTAAGATGTTATTCATATTTATTCTGAAACCAGTCAGTGGGATATAATATGCTTGATCAGTGTTGCAGAACTTCTGAAAATGGTTGCTTAGCAACTGTGACCTTAGAGGTGAATTTGCTGCTGACCTTTTCGCCACTGAAGATGTATAAATAAACAGGTGCTTCTAAAAGGATTTTTAAGTCTAGAAGGTACTTCTATTTAAATTTCATATTATGCTGAAAAAAGCAGGTTATTTCCTTGTTAATGCTGTCACATAATTTTAGATGTAAGTAAATGCTTTTCAGAGCATTTTCAATGTGTTTTCTTGGAGTTAAATGTATAGTATTTGTCAAATGGTGCTAAAAGTTGTTCACGTGACTATTTTAAAGACAGGTCACTTGAAAGCAAAATTTACTTGTGTCTGTAACTCTGTGTAGGAATGGACTAAGCAAACCACCTGTTTAATCACATACATTTTTCTGAGGAAAAATTAGACCCATTGTTGAAAACAAGACCCATCTATCTATTAAACACATAGTAGGAAGTGTTGTGTTGTATCACAGACTCTGGAAGTTCCTTTGAGCGGGCTCCTGCTAAGTGTCTCTACTCTGGGGCCCCCCTAGGAGGCAGTCGGGGCCATCTGTGCCTGGCCCTGTGTTTGTGTGAAACTCCCACTAATTTCAGTGGAAGTCCAGGGTCGGACTTTCAAAAGTGTTCAACATGGGTCTGGTCTGCTCCCATGGAATTCAATAGTTTAAGCCCTATGGGGGCAGAGTTAGGGCAGTGCTTTGCATTTTTTAAAATCCCATCTAAGTGTAAATAATGGGTGGAGAATAGACACACAAATCAATCTTTTTGAATTGTCAAACGTATTCCAAACCCGTTTTGGGGGGTTAATGGCATGTTTACAATCGCTGATTTTCATTGAAAGCTTTTTTTGTCCTTCCTGGGTGTGGCATTACTTCTTACTAAGCATAAGATACAAAATCCCCTGTGCACAACTCCCTTTCAAATAACCTTCCTTATATGCCTTTTTTGAGTGCCAGGTATTTGTTACAGAATAGAGATGTTTAAGATTTTATGCCAAAAATATTATGGAGTAAGGGCTGGTCTAAACTACAAAGTTAGGTCAGTTTAACTACATCTCTCAGGGCTGTGAAAAATGTCATACCCGATGAGTTGACCTAAGCCCTGGTGTAGACAGCAGTGGGTTGACGGAGAGGTAGATTTATGACAGCGACAGTTATTACAGTGATGGAAGAGGTTCTTCTAGCTACACTATAGCATTTCTAGTGTAGACGTACCCTTAGAGTTTATAGAAACTTCACATCCCTAACTGACCAATGTATAAGCTATTTTAAAGTACTGAGTGAGAACTATCTGTTCTATTGGGTTCTGGGGAGGTGGGCGGGCACAAGCCCGCCCCTGGCTAAAAGACCCTCCCCCAACCTATAGGGAGGATCCACAGAGCCTGAAAACACAGAGCCCCAAAACAGAGGACAACAGAAAAAATAACAAGGCCGGGGTGAAGGTCTAAGGGACAAAAATATGGAACCTGCAGGGGACACTGAGCAGAGAACCCTGGGCAGCACCCACTGCTCCTCAAAGGTGTCAAGGGAGCCAGCAGACTCTGTCCAGAGGAACTCTGCCTGGATACGTGAATGGAGGGAGGACTGGAAATAGACCCCACAGTCTCAAAGAACCCTCTCAGCCAACATCCTCTCCCTGGTGTTCTAGATGGCCACCTTGGCCATGGCTAGGAGGAAGCTGACGAGGAGGCCCCGCAACTTTGTGGGGCCATGGGTAGGGTGTGCATATATAAGGGGGGGGGAGGGGAGAAGTGCAGCCTAAAAGGTGGTCCAGGAGGAGCCGGAAAACGGGCTGTAACAATCTGTTGTTAGGTCTCTTGCGCGCTACGCACCCTGTATCTGATTCATTAATTAATCCTATTTTCAGTCATATTTTCAAAGCAATCAAATGAAAATATTACTGATACAATCACTCTTAGAGACTGGATCTTGCAAGTACCTAGACAATACAATGCTGTACGGAATATCCAGGTCTGATTGTAATTAAAATTTATAGCTCCTGTATGTGGAAGTTTTAAAACCATGATTAATGACTTTGTCTATTGGTACATTGAACTGGTAAATTTGATTGTTAAATATAAAAAGGTGTTTCAGATGGAAATGTTTGTTTTTAAAGTTTTGTGGGGAGCTAGGAGTAAAGGTTTAAGGAGCCTATAAAACTTAATTATTACAAGCTTCTTTCCTTCTTAAATAATTAAAGATCTATCAACTTTAGCTCTATAGTTACTGCTCTCTGTTCGGTAGATACATTTACGTGCACAGGTTTAGTTTTGTTGTCCCATAATGAGTTTTGCAGCACATTTTGCACTGGCAAATTGTTTTAATAGCTCGTGTGGTGTAATCTATAATGGGGTCTTTGTTTTCCGTTGAACAAATGTTCGGATAATAAAAACAAAAACCCAGCCCTTTCTCTCCCTCATTACAATCAGAAAAAAATGGAAAAGATCATGATGCCAAGGAGAGAATACAGTATGTAAAATAGAGCAATTTGCAGTTGTATGCCTGTAAAATGCCTGTATAATGCTGCATTTGTTTAAAGACCTGGCAGTAACAAGTGTATTTCCTGTGCTTTATTGCAATAATTTTATCTGCCTTGTCTTTGGCACACTTAGACATTCCTTTTCTTTTTTGTTTTTTCAGTAGAAAATAAAATATTAATGCTTATGAATTAGCGAGACAAAGGAAATCAGTATGAAAGCCAGCTCACTCCAGGTGGTGGCTTTAATTAACTTGTAAGGCTGAAATTCCATCTTTAAAAGGAATGTAGGGTGGGAGTCTTGAATCTGCTGTAATCGTTCTTAAAGTACAGTTTTAGTCTGAAATGTGCTTCTGTAAAAATGGCATCATGGAGCTCAGTGGTTTTGTCTTGGTGGCTCTGTAGTTCATTTGCTCAGTTTACAACTGAAAATGCTGCTTTTTCCTAATTGCCAGTCCTGCAAATTCAATCTGTTCTTTCTGGCTCCCACACCACCAGTAATAAGGCCCCCGGAACTGGATTTAGTTAACAATTCAGTTGATGAGGCGTGAGCCAGACTGTAACCCAGTTCAAGCACCCAGAGGTGTGCTGCCTCAGCAGGGCTAACAGGAACAAAGAATCGTGAATATATATATATATTTTGGGGGTGGCATGGGTCTGCCCTCCATCTCCTGAAGGGATTCTGCCTCATTGATCTTCCCAGCATGTGTCAAGATTAGGCTCCAGTTACTTCAGGGTTGTGACTTTATTTGTAACATGATCACCTGGGGAGATTGGATCATCATCATCAGGAATCGAATCTGGGATATGTGGATCCAAAATGATGACCCTCGATTGCCTGAGCTACAAGATCTAGGTTCATTTGCTTGAAGTCGGCAGCAGTCTCATAAACCTCCCAGCGAATAGAGGGAGACAGAGTATCAGCGTGGGTTACACATGGGTGGTGTGCAAGTGGCTCTGTACTGTTTCAAAGGGTGCTATATGTTCTCCCCAAAACACATGGCCAGCTCCACTGGCCAGTGCAGAGGTAGGTAGGACTATCACCATGCTCCTTTGAGAACCCAGAGTACTGCAGGCCTCGATATGCCCTATTCCTGCATCTGGGTATGAGAGTGCAAGAAACCCCATCACCCTCTCCCTTCCTCCTTCTCCCCCCCCCCCCTCCCGGAGCAGTCAGGCACATTCCACATCTATCATGGACATTGTAGATTCTTTATTAGTAAGACCTTTTGTTAGATTAGAGAATTGTCTGGGATGTTAATATTGGGCACAGTCTGGTCCTAGGAATCTTGTCTTTTCTGAGAGTTGGGTGAGGAAGGAGAGAAATGTGCAACCCTTGTGTGTGAGATCTCATGCAGCAAGGAGCCCCTTAGAAATCCAGTTCCTGGGTTTCAGAGGGGAGTATTCCTAAATCAGTGTGGCAAAGACAGGAGAACCAGACTCTAAGGGAAGAGAGGGGCTGCAACAATTGTCCCTTGGGAGACTTAATTGTTTCTAATATGTGTAACTTTTGGCTGCAATAATAGCTTGGGAGGTTTATACACCTTGGTGCTTATGTGCCAACCGTGCGCTCAGTTGACCTTTGAAGCTTCGCTTGTGGTGTGAAGAGGCGAGGGGTGGCTATTGTACAGGAGCACTGCCTGTTGCGAGCCTGCACAGGGGCCAGCCATGTTCTCTTAGAGCGGATGCCCTGCTCCAGGGCAGTGCCCGCACCGTCACTAGCCTGTGGAAAAGAGTGTGGGGGAGGCGAAGTGAAGGCAAGGCCATGGTTTTGCTGCTCCAAAGAGACACAGCACTTTGTGTGGATGCAGCCGATGAAGCGAGCTGTAGCTCACGAAAGCTCATGCTCCGATAAATGGGTTAGTCTCTAAGGTGCCCCAAGTCCTCCTTTTCTTTTTGCGGATACAGACGAACACGGCTGCTACTCTGAAAACAGCACTTTGAGTGGACTTCCAACCTCAAGAAGAGCATTGGAATGTTCTTAAAATGAAGGGAATAAACCACAGACAGTAAGTGGGTCAAAGTGAGCTGGACCCCCATAAGAGTAGAGCCTGGCACTTTGAATGCTGCTGGCATGAACTGGATTTTGCAAACTGTGCTCACCAAGATTTGTTTTGTTTTTTTTTTACATGTACTTTGTATGATTTTCCTTATTCTTTTGAAATGATTGAAAGACTGAACTAGAGCACTGAAAGAAGGACGCAAAGAACAGCTAAAGTGAGCCTTTGAGCAGGGCTTCTCTATAGTGCTCATAGCCTTCTTTACCTTATAGCCACTGTGGTCTGCTGCCCAGCTCAGGCCTGTATTGCAGGTTTGCAATCTGTCCTCTGAGTTCTGAATTTATGTGAAAACTGAAACCCTGAAG